TTGTTCAAATTAAGTCTTTAGCAATGCATATTACTAATCAAACATTAAGTTTTGATATATTTACAGTAGGGAATTTACAAAATATCTTCATGGAACATGATCTTTACTTAATATCCTAATGATTTTTGGCATAAAAGAGAAATGTATAATTGTGACCCATACAATGTATTGTTGGCTATTGCTACAAATATACCCCAGAGACTTAACACTGCTTTTGTGCTCTAGGGTCACATTTCTTATTGTCAATTCAAAAATATCAGGTTTTTACTGAAAGAGCTCTTCTTTTAAACACCATGTTTCAGTAGCATTCAGTACTGTGTGTGTGTGTGTGTGTGTTTCAGGGAGCTGCTGCGCTGTGAAAGTGCTCTGGCGCGTCTCTACTGCCGCATGGCATTGCTCAACATCTTTGCTCCCAAGAGCCCTCACACGTTCACACGTCTCTTCCACATCCCCGCCGTGCGAGACATCACACTTGAGCACCTGCAGCTCTTGTCCAATCAGCTGCTGGCTCCGCCTCTGCCAGGTGATGTCATACGAATAATTTAATGAGCACGGGTTGCCAACATGTTTGGTCCAGTTTCCAAATTTACGTTTTACATGTTAAAGGAATAGTTGTAAAATGAAATTTGGTGAAAATGTCAGGCCATCCAAGATTAGGATGAGTTTGTTTCTTCATCAGGTTTGGAGAAATGCAGCATTGCATCAGTGTCTCAGCAATGGATGCTCTGCAGTGAATGGGTGCCGTCAGAATGAGAGTCCAAACAGCTGATAAAAACATCACAATAATCCACAGCACTCCAGTCCATCAGTTAACGTCTGGAGAAGACAAAAGCTGTGTGTTTGTAAGAAGCATCCATCCATCATCCAGGTGTTTTAACTTCAAACCTTGATTCTGTTGATTCAAAATATAATCCATAATCCATAATAATGCTTCCTGAAGTGAAAAAGTGCATCATCTGTTGTCTCTCACATCAAAATCCAGCCACATATGATTTTAGAGCTGTTTTGGACTGTTTAAATGGTGTTTGATCTGTGCAGATTTCTCTCCTGATTCAGAACAGAACATTTTTTCACTGAAGGAAGAGTTATTATGGATTTTAAACTCGTATTTTAGTTTAAAAACGTCTTAATGATGGATTTGTTCCGTATAAACACACAGCTTTCAGCTTCTCCAGATGTTAACTGATGGACTGGAGTGCTGTGGATTATTGTGATGTTTTTATCAACTGTTTGGACTCTCGTTCTGACGGCACCCATTCACTGCTGAGACACTGATGCAATGCTACATTTCTCTAAATCTGATGAAGAAACAAACTCATCTACGTATTAGACGGCTTGCGTGTGGTTTCAGCAAATTTTCATTTTTGGGTGAACTATTCCTTTTAATACATAAAAAAAAAAAATACATAAAGTGACTGCAGTGCATCCATCATAATAAAACTCACTTTTCTGTATTTGTTGATTTCCCTTTGGCGTCTGTAGATGGCAGAATCAGCTCAAACTCTATTCTGCTGGCTCAGTCTGTCCTCCACGAGCTGCAGGGCGAGAGCTGCTCCCCGGCCGAGCTCTTCTATCAGGGACACGCTCAGAGCATCCGCGAGTGGCTGACGGTGGCCATCAGCAGAGCCCTGCATCAGGGAGAGGACAGCCTCCTCGAGCTCACTAAACAGATCTGCTGCTTCCTACAGGTACCAACGCCTCACAACTGATCTGTGTCCACTTACCAGGATTCGTCTCTATTATTTTGAAAATCATGATTTTTATAGTATTATAAAATCAGATCAGTATTATTTTAATGTCATTGATATACTAGTTTTTATAGTTTTTGTTAATATTTTATATTATTTTTATGTTTTCTTTTTATTCATTTCAGTTCAAGCTTTAGTAATTTATTTTTATGTCTATAGTTTGTATTAAGTTTTAGCTTTTGGTTTGTTATTTTAGTATTTAAACTCTAAATGAAAAATGTTGGCAATTAGCTGAAATAAAATCAATTTAAATTTTTTCAGTTAATGTTCATTTTATTTCAAATAAATATTTTCATGGTTTTAGTTAGTTAACAGTAATAACCCTGATAGAGTTAAACATTTTGCAAAAAAAAAAACTTTTCTAAAGCAAAAATGACAGAAGAGCCTTTAAAAAAAATAAACCTATTGTTTCCCTCAATATTATTTTATCTTTGTGTGTGTGTGATCAGAAAGACATCTATCATTTAGATATTTACACATTTTTATAGCACTGTTGTGAGTACGCTATAAATTACTTTGCAAATACTGATTGCAAATCAAACATTATATTTTGTCATATTTAAATGTATCCAAAATAAAAGTGCACTTTTTAACTGTTTTGTACTAAAGTGTGTTAAGAAACATACCCCCGGTTTCACAGACAAGGCTTAAGCCTAATCCTAGACTAAAATGCAAGTCTGCGCTGATTCAACGGAAAGAAACTTGCACTGACTAATCTTAAAATATATGTTTTATCTCGAGATGCACACCAGTAATGTTTTTTTCTAAGTACGTTCATAAAAATTACTTAAATGTCCTAATTGAACTATGGCCTAATCCTGGCTTAGTCTAAGCCCTGTCTGTGAAACCGGGCCTTAGTCCTGAAAGTGCACCGTGTTAAATTATTATTAGTTATTGTGGTTACGTTTTTATGTTTGCTGAACATTCAGAGCGCTCCAGAGCAGTTCACACTGGAAGAGTTTCCCATCACAGAGTCCAAGGTCAGCATGGATGTGAACTTCCCTGGCGCCGCGTTTGTGGTCGTCTCTTGCAAAGAGAGCCAACTGAGCTGCCGTAAAGAGTGAGTTTCTGTTGATTATCTAACAACACAACATTAGGCATGTTTTCTCTATGGATATCACAAGCACTTGTATTTCTAAATGACCTGTTTTTGCGTCTTGCTTTCATTAAGAATTATTTTGCATGTCATGTTTTTCCTTTTAGCTCCTCTCTATACAAGGCCCCTTGGACTCGCTTAATGGTGTATGGACTTGGTCATAAGGTTCGACGAAACGGCCAGCTGAATCTGATGGAGGCAGTGTGCTACCCGCTGGACGCTTCCCCGTCCAATACAGGACTCACCCCTCCACCCACAGCCAACCAGTATCCCAGCATCATCATCCCCACCGACAAAGTGCATGTCAAACTAGGCATGTCAAATACATGTTACTTTGTTAGATACATTTTTGGATTTTACCTACTTATAAGATTCTACTCGGTATGTTCAATATATATAAAAATGTTTTTACTTGGCTAAAATTGTAGACAATAGTGAGCAAAGTGGCCACTTAAATCAGCATCATTTAATTATATTGGATGTGCATTTCAAATCTTGGAAGTGTATTTCAAATTTTATTAGTGAATTAAAAAAAAACTTTTTTTTTTATAATATTTTTAAATAAAAGGCCACTTAAGTGACTTGAAATGAGACACTTTCTTGGCATTTTCTTAACACACTTAAGTACACTTTTAAAAAGTGACCTTTGCAAGTTTTACTTTGGAAATTCTTTTAAAATTGTTTTTAAAATATTTAGTCGTACTTTAGAGAAGTTTTGATGTGTTGTCTAACACAATAAAGCACATGTTAAGTACTTGATTATAATTCAATATTACATTCAAGGTTAATATATTTTAAATGCACTAAATTGCAACGTCATCGTTATAAATGTGTTATTACAAATATGTTTAAATGCATGATTTATAAGTTTCTGTAGAAGTGATTTTAAACCATAGTTTCCCATAAGTGATTGTTTCATATTTCAAAGACAATAGAATAAAGATGTACTTAAGTCCTACTTGGGTCAAAATAGCAGTCCAAAACTGCATATACATATACATTTAAACCATTTTCTTTTATTTGCAATTAACATTCAGCTGGCACTTAAGTATTTTCTTTTAAAATATATTATTTCCGTAATAAGTACTCTTTTTAGATGTATGCTAAAGTGTACTTCTTTTTCACAAGGATAGGGCGCATGCTCAAAGGCTAGTGTGACCGCAGCATAAGATCAGTAAGATACATTTAGAAAATAGAGCGTGATTTTCCTTTTCATGGCATATTTAACTCCTATTCTGGTCACTGTCTGCAGGTGTAGCTCCCCCTCCTGGTGCAGTGCTGGTATTGCACTCGTTGCCTCTTGAGTTTCCCTTGGCCATGGCTTTTGCTGAACAGCTGCTAACCTACACCATAGGGGAAACCATTGACCGCTCTGAGGATGAGCTGGACACTGTGCCCACTTCTGTGCTAATGCAGGTTGTAGAGTTGCTGGGTAAGAAATGTTCATTTATTTCCCCCCCAAGGATCTAATGAAACATGCTAGTAAAACTTCCCATGCAGTTTCTTTTTTCAGCATCACACTTGCTTTATCTGTGTTTAGGTGGGCTTCTGTGGACCACCGATCTTGCTCCGTGCATCAAGGAGCTGATCTTCCACTTGCTTGCGGAGCTTCTCCGCAAGATCCACGCCTTCGAGCGTCGCAAAACCCCCTCGGGGCTGTCTAGCCACATTACATTGCTTCTCAACCCTTGCCTAACAGTCCTTATGGTTCTTCAATCCGAGCTACGAAAACTTTACGACCACGAGACCCAAAGGAGCAAGTGATGCAATGCTACATTTCTCCAAATCTGATGAAGAAACGAGCTCCATCTTGGATGGCCTGAGGTTGAGTAAATGTTCAGCAAATTGTAATTTTTGGGTGAACTGTTCCTTTAATACATACTAGGAAAAAAAATCAAAACTCACTTTTCTGTGTTTGTTGATTTGCCTTGGCGTCTGTAGATGGCAGAATCAGCTCAAACTCTATTCTGCTGGCTCAGTCCGTCCTCCACGAGCTGCAGGGCGAGAGCTGCTCCCCGACCGAGCTCTTCTATCAGGGACACGCTCAGAGCATCCGCGAGTGGCTGACGGTGGCCATCAGCAGAGCCCTGCATCAGGGAGAGGACAGCCTCCTCGAGCTCACTAAACAGATCTGCTGCTTCCTACAGGTACCAACGCCTCACAACTGATCTGTGTCCACTTACCAGGATTCGTCTCTATTATTTTGAAAATCATGATTTTTATAGTATTATAAAATCAGATCAGTATTATTTTAATGTCATTGATATACTAGTTTTTATAGTTTTTGTTATATTATTTTATTATTTTTATGTTTTCTTTTTATTCATTTCAGTTCAAGCTTTAGTAATTTATTTTTATGTCTATAGTTGTTTTAGCTTTTTAGCTTTTGGTTTGTTATTTTAGTATTTAAACTCTAAATGAAAAATGTTGGCAATTAGCTGAAATAAAATCAATTTAAATTTTTTCAGTTAATGTTCATTTTATTTCAAATAAATATTTTCATGGTTTTAGTTAGTTAACAGTAATAACCCTGATAGAGTTAAAAATTTTGCAAAAACAAAACTTTTCTAAAGCAAAAATGACAGAAGAGTCTTTAAAAAAAATAAACCTATTGTTTCCCTCAATATTATTTTATCTTTGTGTGTGTGTGATCAGAAAGACATCTATCATTTAGATATTTACACATTTTTATAGCACTGTTGTGAGTACGCTATAAATTACTTTGCAAATACTGATTGCAAATCAAACATTATATTTTGTCATATTTAAATGTATCCAAAATAAAAGTGCACTTTTTAACTGTTTTGTACTAAAGTGTGTTAAGAAACATACCCACGGTTTCACAGACAAGGCTTAAGCCTAATCCTAGACTAAAATGCAAGTCTGCGCTGATTCAACGGAAAGAAACTTGCACTGACTAATCTTAAAATATATGTTTTATCTCGAGATGCACACCAGTAATGTTTTTTTCTAAGTACGTTCATAAAAATTACTTAAATGTCCTAATTGAACTATGGCCTAATCCTGGCTTAGTCTAAGCCCTGTCTGTGAAACCGGGCCTTAGTCCTGAAAGTGCACCGTGTTAAATTATTATTAGTTATTGTGGTTACGTTTTTATGTTTGCTGAACATTCAGAGCGCTCCAGAGCAGTTCACACTGGAAGAGTTTCCCATCACAGAGTCCAAGGTCAGCATGGACGTGAACTTCCCTGGCGCCGCGTTTGTGGTCGTCTCTTGCAAAGAGAGCCAACTGAGCTGCCGTAAAGAGTGAGTTTCTGTTGATTATCTAACAACACAACATTAGGCATGTTTTCTCTATGGATATCACAAGCACTTGTATTTCTAAATGACCTGTTTTTGCGTCTTGCTTTCATTAAGAATTATTTTGCATGTCATGTTTTTCCTCTTAGCTCCTCTCTATACAAGGCCCCTTGGACTCGCTTAATGGTGTATGGACTTGGTCATAAGGTTCGACGAAACGGCCAGCTGAATCTGATGGAGGCAGTGTGCTACCCGCTGGACGCTTCCCCGTCCAATACAGGACTCACCCCTCCACCCACAGCCAACCAGTATCCCAGCATCATCATCCCCACCGACAAAGTGCATGTCAAACTAGGCATGTCAAATACATGTTACTTTGTTAGATACATTTTTGGATTTTACCTACTTATAAGATTCTACTCGGTATGTTCAATATATATAAAAATGTTTTTACTTGGCTAAAATTGTAGACAATAGTGAGCAAAGTGGCCACTTAAATCAGCATCATTTAATTATATTGGATGTGCATTTCAAATCTTGGAAGTGTATTTCAAATTTTATTAGTGAATTAAAAAAAAACTTTTTTTTTTTATAATATTTTTAAATAAAAGGCCACTTAAGTGACTTGAAATGAGACACTTTCTTGGCATTTTCTTAACACACTTAAGTACACTTTTAAAAAGTGACCTTTGCAAGTTTTACTTTGGAAATTCTTTTAAAATTGTTTTTAAAATATTTAGTCGTACTTTAGAGAAGTTTTGATGTGTTGTCTAACACAATAAAGCACATGTTAAGTACTTGATTATAATTCAATATTACATTCAAGGTTAATATATTTTAAATGCACTAAATTGCAACGTCATCGTTATAAATGTGTTATTACAAATATGTTTAAATGCATGATTTATAAGTTTCTGTAGAAGTGATTTTAAACCATAGTTTCCCATAAGTGATTGTTTCATATTTCAAAGACAATAGAATAAAGATGTACTTAAGTCCTACTTGGGTCAAAATAGCAGTCCAAAACTGCATATACATATACATTTAAACCATTTTCTTTTATTTGCAATTAACATTCAGCTGGCACTTAAGTATTTTCTTTTAAAATATATTATTTCCGTAATAAGTACTCTTTTTAGATGTATGCTAAAGTGTACTTCTTTTTCACAAGGATAGGCCGCATGCTCAAAGGCTAGTGTGACCGCAGCATAAGATCAGTAAGATACATTTAGAAAATAGAGCGTGATTTTCCTTTTCATGGCATATTTAACTCCTATTCTGGTCACTGTCTGCAGGTGTAGCTCCCCCTCCTGGTGCAGTGCTGGTATTGCACTCGTTGCCTCTTGAGTTTCCCTTGGCCATGGCTTTTGCTGAACAGCTGCTAACCTACACCATAGGGGAAACCATTGACCGCTCTGAGGATGAGCTGGACACTGTGCCCACTTCTGTGCTAATGCAGGTTGTAGAGTTGCTGGGTAAGAAATGTTCATTTATTTCCCCCCCAAGGATCTAATGAAACATGCTAGTAAAACTTCCCATGCAGTTTCTTTTTTCAGCATCACACTTGCTTTATCTGTGTTTAGGTGGGCTTCTGTGGACCACCGATCTTGCTCCGTGCATCAAGGAGCTGATCTTCCACTTGCTTGCGGAGCTTCTCCGCAAGATCCACGCCTTCGAGCGTCGCAAAACCCCCTCGGGGCTGTCTAGCCACATTACATTGCTTCTCAACCCTTGCCTAACAGTCCTTATGTTTCTTCAATCCGAGCTGCGAAAACTTTACGACCACGAGACCCAAAACTGGGGGCCAGTTAGCGGAGGTTCCTGCACTTCCGCAGCGGGTAGCAGCGGAGCGCTTGCGCTCGTCACCGAGCGGAGCCGCTTCTCGACCTACTTCCATGCCCTGATGGAGGTGTGTCTGGCAGTCGCCGAAGTAACTCTGCCACTCAGTTCGGGTGCGGGGACATCGGTGGTAGGCGTCCCCTCGTCTACAAGTGCCACCAACTGTAGTGATTCCTCATCCTCTTCATCATCCTCTCCGGGCCAAACGCCCCAAAGTCCAAGCTTGCTTTCGAAGCGCAAAAAGGTGAAGCTAAAGCGCGAACGGGCAGCGGTCACAGTTGCATCGGCAGCTGCCGTCTCAGGGAAACATGGTTCTGGAAGTGGAGCGAGACCATCAGAATGTGACAGTGCTTTACTAAACATGGCCGGAGGGAAGCCAGAGGACATGTTGTGGTTTCACCGTGGGTTGACGTTACTCTTGATTTTGCGGCACCTTACTAACAAGGACCCGCAAGGTCTGGGTGTCACTGAAGATGCGGTTGCAGATGCTTGCCAAGCCTTGGTTGGCTCCACCGCTCACAGTCGTTTGCTCGTGCTCTCAGGAATCCCGACTCACTTAGAGGAATCCGTGGTGCGCAATGCAATCCGAAGGGCTTGCAACGCACACGGCGGTCTCTTCAAGGATGAGATCTTTATTCCTGTTCAAGAGGAGGACCCTAAAAAAGCCAAAGCTGAAACTTCAGGTATTCTCCAAGATGCAAAGCGAGATTGCACTGCAGGAAGCCCAAATAGCATCAGCGCAACGCCAGCAATGAGTGCCTCGGCTTCAGCGAGCCAGACGTCGGTCTCCGGCTCTTTACAGGGAGCTTCCAGGGCTTCCGGTGAGCTGCTAGTGAACCAAGAGCTGGTAATCCCTCAAACAGCACCTTCCCAGCCACATGCACCGCTGGATCCCCACACGGTCTCCAGTCAGGAGAGTCTGGATGTGTCTCTTTGTAGCACAGGAAGTCAAGGTAGTCTCGGCAGCATTGGAGAGCAGTTGGATAGTGGTGCGACGTCAGTCTCAGATGGGAGCTCCATGTACACCGTTGCCTCGCCAGACATCCATGCCAGTGTGACACGACCAATCAAAGGCTATGCTGTCATAGAGGTGGGTGGGACCAGCAACAGTAATATAATACGAGTGGTGTTTACAAGCATCTTTATTACTGTTGTTCATACTTAAATTAGCGTTGATTTTATTGATATGGTATGCCATGCTCATGCTCCAGATTCATTTATTTTGACATGCACTTATATTCCTTTTGCAAATAAGCACATCATAACAGATGTTTGACAATGTTTATTTTATGGAAAAGTATGACAAATTTAAAATGCACGGTTCCTGTGCATGTGTATTTACCGACTGTCATGTTGCAAGGCCAATATATCGGCTAATATTTGGCATTTTTTAAATGATCAGTATCGGCCATTAAGTTTTTGCCAAGGCCGATTTATCAGCTGATATTTAGCCTTTTTTAATTATCAGTTTTTGCCAAAGTCAATATATCGGCTGGTATTTCGCATTTTTTACTTGTCAGTATACGTTGTACATTTTTTTGCTAAGGCTGATATATCAGCCGATATTTGGCCTTTTTTAATTATCAGCAGCAATTATTCAAACTCTTCCTACTGCATTCATCACATCTTCACCAGATTTTCAGACAATGATAAAACGCACCTAGAGCACCCTAGCAACTGAATAGCAACCATTTAGAACACCTTAGCAACACTAGTAGCACTAACCGTTTTGTGAAAGAAATTCAATACCGAATAATGTTATGTTTTTTTGCTTTTGTCTTACAGGTGAGGGCACGGGCCCAAGTAGAGAAGATTCGGGCCAGTCTTTTTAACAGCAGTGATCTCATTGGCCTTTCCAATCTGGAAAGAGAGGAGGAGCTAATGGAGATGACCAATGAGGAGATCCTCACCGCCTCCAGTGTAAATCAGAGTTTGTTTGACACACAAGGGAGTTCTGCCCTGGAGGAGTACTTCCTTGACAAATCAATCAGAGGTTCGTTGATTTCTTTATCCCAGAATGTTAAAAATAGGTGTGTTTATTCTGTAATTCTTTTCGCAAGGGTTTGCTTTGACTTGATATCAGGTTTAATTATGTTTTGTTCTTATAGGAGATAAATTGGTTCCTGAAGCACGTGATGGGCTGACAGACATCTTTAAGAGCTGCATATGCGCAGAGCAGGTGCTGAGCTCCGTACCAACAAAACCAGTGAAAGTATCGGACATTTATCTGAGCAAAGAGCAGATGAACTCTCAGACACCAGGAAACCTGCTCCACGTGTTTTTTACACACATACGGCCTCCCAAGAAGGTGCTTGATGACCAGCTCACGCAGGTAAAAACCTTGGAACCGTAATACATTTATTATTATTAAATTACGAATTTATCATAAAACATATTTATTTTATTTAAATTATCTGTATCGGTCATTAGGTTTTTGCCAAGACTGATATATCGGCCGATATTTAGCTTTTTTTAATTATCAGTATCGGTCGTTAAGTTTTTGCCAGTGCTGATATATTACTGATATTTGGCATTGTTTGTTAATTATCAGTATCAGCCATTACATTTTTGCCAAGGCCAATATTGCGGCCGCTATTTAGCCTTTTTAATGATAAATATCGGCCGTTAAGTTTTTGCCAAGGTTGTTATATCAGCCGATATTTGCCGAAAAAATCGTTTTTTTTTTTTTTATTACAATTTTTAAAACATCCACTACATGCACATGGTCACTTTGAGTCTTCCACATGCATTTTGCTAAATAATTATTATTAAGTATTAACAGTTATTATTAATAATTAACAAAAACAATGATCATTATGAAAATTTCCTAGTTGTAATCCACACATATGTGTTACCATTCTATTAACTTTTTCTGTTAGTTTGTTTTTTTGTTAGCATCAGTTTTAAGGCCAAGTTGAACAGACACAAAGTATTTGACCGGACCAAAGCAGAAATTATTAACCTTTGTTAATTGCACATGTAGATTCTCCGTAAATATGGCACAGTAAAGCCCAACAAAAACAAGCACAGCAAGGCAGGCAAAGAGCAGCACCAAGGCAAAGTGGTCAGCACAAAAAGACCCATCACCAAACCCCCGGCCAAAGAGAAGTCCATGCTGAACAGTGTTAGGTGAGTACTGACAACTTGTAAGTGTAAACTGCCAAAAGATCAAATATTTTTATAGTGAATTTATTTAACATTTTGAATATGTAATTGAATACAAGCATCCCTTACCTTAAGATACATTTTAATTAACCATTGTTTTTAATTTGAAATATATAAAAGTAGTTCATCTGCCGCCATAAGATGTATAGTACCAGTGGTATTTTATGTATTATTTGAGATACTATTATTTTTTTATTCATAAAAAATACTATACATTTTTGAATTCGTTTTTATTTTTATATTTTCAGTTATCATTTTATTGTTTTAAAATGTTGTGTTTTATAATTTTTTTTATTAATTTTTAAAAGAAAATTATTTTATTAATTAATAATTATTTAAAAAATTTTATTGTTTTAAAATGTTGTGTTTTATAATTTTTTTTATTAATTTTTAAAAGAAAATTATTTTATTAATTAATAATTATTAAAAATATATATATATATATATTTTATTAATTTATTTAAGTGAAGATATATATATTTTTTAAATATCAGTTAGGTGTTTTTTTTTTCCCAAGTAATAAAAATGATAGTTTTAGTTTTAGTGGACTATGATATTCCTGCATGGTGTTTTTCCAGAACTGTACTAAGTGAGAAAAAGCCAGTCCTTAAGCCAAAATCTCCTGAGAAGACCAAACCTGATGAAAAAGACCCTGAAAAGTCTCCCGCCAAAAAGCTTGAAGGTTAATGCAATACCATTCTTGATTTCTGAATTTATTAACAAAAAACGAATACATGATCGGTTTCGGTGGAAGCTCATAAATCTTAACGCCTCACCCTTCCTCTGTCCATCAGTGCCAGAAGAGAAGTTTCTGACCCTGGAAGGTTTCCACAAGTTTACTCTAGACAGAGCCAAGCAGGATATTCGCAGTGTTTGGCGGGCGATCCTGGCGTGCGGTTACGACCTGCACTTTGAAAGGTTTGTTCAAAAGAATTTTAAAGTTAAGAAATTTCTTAAGATAAATTCTAAGAATTCCATAAGAATTTTCACCTGATTTGACGGGAATCCAGAACTTGGGAAGCGTGTTTTAATGCACTGTGTATTTTTAAAGAGCCATCGCATTAATTTACATCTTTTTTTGCTCTATAATGCTTCCGGAAATTGTTATAATTATAAAATTAAAAACTCATTTTTACTGGATTCAGCAAAGAGACACTTCATGCATATTCATGACGGATCGTTGTTAACATTATCAATCTTTGGTGTCACTATAAGAGAACAAGCACATTTCTAGTTCTGGTATTATGTATTATATGTAGCTAGTGTTATGTTGTAATGCTCAATAAATTAGTGAAATTAATTTATACCACACAATAAATTCATTAAACACATTAGAGACAAATTGGAGGTAGCTTTGTAGTTGTTTACAATGCTTTTTAAAAAGATTGTTTTAAATAATTTAAATTCTTTCTAAGTTTCATCTTAAAAATGAAGGAGCAAGATAAGAATATTCTTAAGATTTTTTTGTAGTGCAAAATATTTTCGTTTTTTCTTAAGTAAGAAAATTTAAGAAATGTGTGTGAGCCTGCAGCACAAAAGCAGTGTTAAGTCGCTGGGGGATATTTGTAGCAATAGCCAACAATACATTGTATGGGTCAAAATTATCCATTTTTCTTTTATGCCAAAAATCATTAGGATATTAAGTAAAGATCATGTTTCATGAAGATATTTTGAAATTGTCCTGCTGTACATGTATCAAAACTTAATTTTTGATTAGTAATATGCATTGCTAAGAACTTCATTTGGACAACTTTAAAGATGATTTTCTCAATATTTAGATTTTTTTGCACCCTCAGATTCCAGATTTTCAAATATTGTCCTATCCTAACAAACCATACATCAATGGAGAGCTCATTTATTCAGCTTTCAGATGATGCATAAATCTCAATTTCAAAAAATTGACCCTTAAGGTTTTGTGGTCCAGAGTCACATTTTATTCTTGAGAACAGGCCCCCAAACATCCATACTACTGTATGTTTCTGCAGGTCTTTCTTGTTCTGGTTTTCAAATAAACTGAAAATTTATCAAATAAATGACTAGAATAATGAATGCAACTCTCTGAAGATCTTAATGGTCTTTTTTTTGTTTCAGATGCACGTGCATCGACTCCCGACACGCTCAGAAAGCCAGTAGAAAATGGACCTTTGAGATGGACTTTGCGCTGGTCCAGTTTGCTAACCGTCTGTGCCGACACCTGGCCATCACTCCTGCACGCTTGCATCCTCATGAAGTTTACCTCGACGCCAAGGACACCGCCGACCCCCAGGTCGCATGCTTGTTAGGCAAGTGCATGTTACGTTATGCTGTTAGATTTGGATTGTGAGACGTAGAGTCTGCATGTTTTAACCCCAGTGTGCGCAGAAGGTAACTCTGATGATCACACAGGCGTTCCAGTGGAGAGTTTGCGTCTGCGGTTTGCTTTGCTGCAGTCGCTCAACAGCACGCTGGAGAGCTTCTTCCTGCCGTTAGTCGAGCTGAGGCTGACGCAAACCTATCAAAACAGCATCGCGACGCTTCTGTGCGAAGCCAAAGGTCAGTCATCGAATACACAGGCACACTTATGACACTGGTCAGGATTGTTTCTTTAGTAGCTATATAGAAGGCTACCAAAAAGTACCATGTTTTTTGAATAGGCTGGGGAATATATTGATTATTTTCAATATATTGAATATTGGTGATCAGTATTATTTTCTTGGCAGTGTGACATGAAGCAGCATTGTGTTTGTCGTAATGATTTTAATGCACTTTTTTATTTGGACAGTCAGTTTATTTCCATTTATTTGTGTAACTCGAAAATGTTCATGGTGTGTTCTTGTGAAAAAATGTTCTTTACATGCTCTAGTACGGCGGTGATACCATAGTATTCTTTCATGAATGTTAAACATTAAATACCATGGTATTACCATCTGATACCATCGCTGTACTAAATTACACCCAAAGTGCTTCATAATAAAGGTGATTCCTCACTATATTTCATATATGTAGGATGTTTAAAAATGTATAAATTCCCTTGAGAAAAAGTACACTTCAGCATACTTTCAAAAAGAGCATTTATTACAAAAATAATACTTTAAAAGAATATACTTAAGTGTGAACTGAGTGTAATATTTTCAGATACTTAATTGCATGTTAATCACAATTAAATGAATAGTTTACATTTATATAAAATGCAAGTAGCTGAACTTTAGAGTGCTTTTGATCCACTTAAGTAGGACTTAAGTACATCTTTGTGTGTAATTTCAGAATTACTATCGTCTTTGAAATATGGTTAAAGTACTGCTGAATGTACTGACAAGCATTTCTGATCAACTAAAATTATTTTAAAGAATATACTTAAGTGTGAACTGAGTGTAATATTTTCAGACAGTTAATCTCAATTAAATGAAAAGGTGTTGTACTTTACATTTATATAAAATGCAAGTAGCTGAACTTTTGAGTGTTTTTGATCCACTTAAGTAGGACTTAAGTACATCTTTGTGTGTAATTTCAGAATTATACTTAAGTGTGAACTGAGTGTAATATTTTCAGACAGTTAATCTCAATTAAATGAAAAGGTGTTGTACTTTACATTTATATAAAATGCAAGTAGCTGAACTTTTGAGTGTTTTTGATCCACTTAAGTAGGACTTAAGTACATCTTTGTGTGTAATTTCAGAATTACTATCGTCTTTGAAATATGGTTAAAGTACTGCTGAATGTACTGACAAGCATTTCTGATCAACTAAAATATACTTTAATGACATTTCTATTGAAACTTGTATGTCATGTATTTAAATATATTTGTAATTACACTTTTGTACGGATGCAGTTTTAGTACATCTAAATATATTAATTCTAAATATATTAATATACTACAGTTAAAATGATAATCAAGTACTTTCCATGTGCTTTAGTATGTTAGTCAACACATCAAAATAAGTGCACTTCTTTAAAACACGACAAAAGATTATTAAAACATTGATTTAAAGTGTACTTTAAAGTGTGTTAACTGTTATAAAAGTGTCTTTCTTTAAGTACAAGTAAGTGACCTTTTATTTCATTAATATTACATTATCTGCAAGTACGGTCTTTTAAAAATATACTTTTAAGATTTGAAGCACACTACAAGTGCAATTAAGAGCCGTTCTTTTTCACAAGCATCAGTGTTACGTCTCCCGAATTACTCGGCGTCTAGGGGTTGTGTATATCTAATAATAATATCTATTTACAAATTATGAGGGATTAAAGACAACAAAGTGAGGGACGAGCGCGGTGCTAAAGAAAAGAAATGAATAAAACATAAACACACTTAACTAACACCAACCAAAAGAAACCAGGAACAATAACATCTTCAGCGTCGAACGCCACTAGCTACACTGTCTAATAAAACTTAAGTAGGACTTAAGTACATCTTTGTGTGTAATTTCAGAATTACTATCGTCTTTGAAATATGGTTAAAGTACTGCTGAATGTACTGACAAGCATTTCTGATCAACTAAAATATACTTTAATGACATTTCTATTGAAACTTGTATGTCATGTATTTAAATATATTTGTAATTACACTTTTGTACGGATGCAGTTTTAGTACATCTAAATATATTAATTCTAAATATATTAATATACTACAGTTAAAATGATAATCAAGTACTTTCCATGTGCTTTAGTATGTTAGTCAACACATCAAAATAAGTGCACTTCTTTAAAACACGACAAAAGATTATTAAAACATTGATTTAAAGTGTACTTTAAAGTGTGTTAACTGTTATAAAAGTGTCTTTCTTTAAGTACAAGTAAGTGACCTTTTATTTAATTAATATTACATTATCTGCAAGTACGGTCTTTTAAAAATATACTTTTAAGATTTGAAGCACACTACAAGTGCAATTAAGAGCCGTTCTTTTTCACAAGCATCAGTGTTACGTCTCCCGAATTACTCGGCGTCTAGGGGTTGTGTATATCTAATAATAATATCTATTTACAAATTATGAGGGATTAAAGACAACAAAGTGAGGGACGAGCGCGGTGCTAAAGAAAAGAAATGAATAAAACATAAACACACTTAACTAACACCAACCAAAAGAAACCAGGAACAATAACATCTTCAGCGTCGAACGCCACTAGCTACACTGTCTAATAAACATAAATCCTGTTTCTCTTGATCTCATTTGCAGGCCTGATTTTTTACGACACCAAAGTGAGTTTTATGAACCGGGTGCTGAACGCAAGCGTCCAGCGCACAGCGGATCACGCCGCTCCTGAGATCACGCTCGACCCGCTGGAGATAGTGGGAGGTAAGCCCATGACGCGCAGAGTTGGGGAAAGCTACTTTCAAAAGTAATGCATTGCAATATTGCGTTACGAAAGTAACCAGTGTTGGGAAGGTTACTTTGGAAACAAGTTACCCTGTTTAAAATGTAATAAGTAGTGTAACTATTTCAATTACTTTATTAAAGGGGTCATATGATGCTTTTTTAAAGATCATTATTTGGTGTAACGGAATATGTTGACATGCTTTAATGTTCAAAAAACACATTCTTTTTCAAATACTGTACATTATTGTAGGTCCTCTATGCCCCGCCTCTCTCAAACGCTTAGTTTTTTACAAAGCCCCTCCTTCCGACAAGCGCAGTCTGCTCTGATTGGCCAGCTGACCC